GGAGTGTGGCGGGATAAGAGGAGGAGACAGGGTTTTGTGGGAGGAAGAACCTTTAAGTGGGGGATCCCTGTGAAAGGACAAAGACATCAATAGTACAGATCCTGCTGGCTGGAATGTACTTGAGTAGGATCCTGAGATGAGAGCAGGTCAGTGGGAAACACGAAGGTAGAGTAGGAGTGAGGAATCTTGCTTCTTGCTTAAAGCAAGAAAACAGGATAGTTGGAGAAAGCTGAGTTACCACCACCCACTGCAGCCTTCCCTATTTTGGAGGAAGGAGAAGACCAAAGGAGGTAGTTAGAGGTCTCTATGTAAATAAATAGAGGATTCAAAATTGTTTGATTACAAAAAAGTAATTTCTAGAATTTTTTTTTTTTTTTTTTTTTTTTTTTTGTTTTTTTTTTTATGGTTGTGGTGTCTCCCCAGTCCAGAGACAGAAAGCGGGAAATCACCCCTCAGAGGGGAGATGGCCATGCTGCAATCCCTTATCCTCCATTCTCCTCTCTAGATTTTGGGCACACTTGTACACGTGCCTGGCATCAGCTTTAAGCGTTGGGTCCAGGACTCAAACCACAGTCAACTACATGGGAGTCCAGCAACATAACCATTATGCCATCTGCTGGTCCCAATTGCTTTACTTTTTTTTAAAAAAAATTATTATTTTATTTAACTTTACTTATTTATTTATTTTAATTTGACCAGAGAGGAACAGAGCAAGCAAAAGATAGAGAAAGTGAGAAAGCAGGTTGCCAGGTCTAGGACTCAACCATGATCAGCCATGTGGGAATCCAGAGCCCTTAATCACCATGCCATCTGCTGGCCCCTGCTGGTCCCAATTTCTAGAATTTTTACAAATAAAGACTTTTGTGCCGGTAGGTGGCGTGGCTGTTAAGGGCACTGGACTCCCACATGGCTGGTCTTGGTTTCAAGACCCTGACTTGGGGCTTGCTTTCTCACCTTCCCTCTCTCTGTCTTTCTCTCTTACTCCATCCCTCCCTGGTGAAGCTAAAATAAATAAATAAATAAAGTTAAATGAAATAATTCTTTTAAAAAATTTAAAAATTAAAGTATTAAAAACTAAAGGTTTTTGTCATTAGTTCTATGGCTGATACAATTTAAAAGCCTGCCAATTTTTTAAAAGAATTATTTTATATAACTTTATTAATTAATTAATTTATTCATTTGTTTATTTCAATTAGACCAGAGAGGGCCAGTAAGAGGGAGGAAGGAAGAGAAAGAGAAAGATATTGAAAGTGAGAGAGCAAGCCACCAGATCCAGGACTCAAACCATGGACAACCATGTGGGAATCCAGCGCCCTTAACCTCCATGCCACCTGCCGCCCCTAAAGCCCTCCAATCTTAAATTACTCTTATTTTAAAAATGATCACTAAAATTAAGCTGTTGTTTTTGTAAACTTTTAAAAGTGATTTGTGTATATAAAAAACATGTATATTGTAATTTATGTCTTAAAGTTTATTGGAACAGAAAGAAATGGATTTATCTTCAGTTCACGTTGAAGAAGTACAAAATGTCCTTAACGCTATGCAGAAGATCTTAGAATGTCCAATCTGGTAAGTCAGTAGAAGAGTTTATTTGGGATTTTTATATGATTCTCTCCCACACACATGAATAGAAATAAAGAAAAAGTACTCTTTTTCCTCCATTCTCAAATCCTTTCTTTTTTTAAAGTTATCTACTAAATTTTATTTATTCATTCATTCATTTTTAATTTGACAGAGAGAGACACAGAGAGAGAGAGAAAAAGAGGGGAAATGAGAAAGCAAGCCACCAAGTACAGGACTTGAACCGTGGTCAGCCATGTAGGAGTGTCCAGCACCTTAACCACTATGCCCCCTGCTGGTCCCCCAGATCCTTTCAGTACACACAGACCTTTCCCAGTCCATCATAGTCTGTCTTGGTTGGTTTTGCAATTGGGTTTGATTTAGTGGCACTTGGGCTTTTCTTTTCTTTCTTTCTTTTTTCTTGTCTTGTCTTTTTTTTAAAAATTTACCAGAGGGCATATGTGGCTCCAAAAAGCACAGAGGGAGAGGGAAAGTGAGAAAGCACCAACCATAGGGGATGGTCATGTCACAATCCCTTCTCCATTTCTCTCTCCTTTTGGGATTTTGTGATTGAACACACACGTGCCTGGGGTGTTTTTCAAGCTGCCAGGTCTGGGATTTATTCTATGTCCTGGACATGTGTGATCAAGTGACCTTAACTATGCCACTTGCTGGCCCTGCACTTGGTCTTTTCTAACAACTCTAAAATTGACTTGATCACTAGGATTGGATATCATTAATAATGCAAAATAAAATCACAAATGATTGGTGTCTATAAGATAGGTCTTTGGGAGACCCCCTTCTCTGAAACTTCCTGTGCATTTAAATAAGAATACTGTAAATCCTCAAGCTCTTTAGCAAGTTTGATTCTGAATGACCCTTTGTTTTTTATCTGTTAAATAAAGAGGGAACTGGAGCTGTCAAGTTTTTTTTTTTTAATTGATGAATAATTTACATACAGTGAATTGCAGACACCTTAAATGTTTTTTTTTTTAATTTATTTATTCATTCATTGTATTTTAATTTGATCAGAGAGACAGAGAGAGAGAGAGGGGGAAAGCGAGAAGGAAAGGGAGAAAGCAAGCTGCCAGGCCCAGGACTTGAACCGTGGTCAGCCATGTGGGAGTGTCCAGCACCTTAACCACCATGCCACTGCTGACCCCAAGACCTTAAGTATTCAAGTCCATGAGTTTTGACAAATGTTTTTGCCTTGTGACTCCATCTCCAATCAAGATCTAGAACATTTCCATCACTCCAGAGAGTTCACTTGTGTGTTGGTTCTTAACTGGCAGACTTTCCAGGACTGAGTCTCATAAACAGAACTGTATTTTAGTGTAATTATTTTTTTGTGTAATTTTGTATTTATTATTTTCAGCATTTAAAAATACTACTCTAGGATTCAGCAGATGGCATAAGGGTTATGTTGCTGAACTCCCACATAGTCGACCCTGGTTCCAGTCCTGGACCTAAGGGCTTAAAACTCATGCCTGGTGCGTGTGTGTGCATGCCCTAAATTCCAAGAGGAGAATGGTGGAGAAGGGATTGCAGTGTGGCAATCCCCCGGGGGGTGATTTCTTGCTTTCTGTCTCTGTCTGTCTCTCTTTCTCTGGCAAGCGTATGCACTCTGTAGCAAAAATCTCTAAAAAAATATATATATATATTACTCTGGGGCCAAAAGGTGACATGGTGACTAAGGTGCTGGACTCCCATATGTCTGACCACAGTTCAAATCCCAGACTTAGTGGCTTGAAAAATCTTGATAGGTGTGAGTGCATATGTGCCCAAAATCCCAAGAGGGGAATGGAAAAGAGATTGTGGCATGGCTATTCTTCCCTGGCAGGTGAAGGAGATTTCTCACTTTCCCTCTCTCTGTCATTCTCCAGCAAGTGCAAGCACCAATGTCCTATGGGGGAAAAAAAAAAAATTTTAAATTGAACTGGCATGGTAGTTAAGGCACTGTATTCCCACATAGCTGACTGGCTCAAGTCTTCAACTTAGCAGCTTGTTTTCTCATTTTCACTTTCTCTCTGTCTCTGGTCTAATTAAAAAGATGATAGGGCGGGACCAGCAGTTAGCGTAATGGCTATGTTGCTGGACTCCTATGTAGTCGACCGCAGAACAAGTAATGGACCCGGTGGCTTAAACTCACGCCAGGCGCGTGTGCATGCGTGCCCAAAATCCTGAGAGGAAAATGGAGGAGAAGGGATTGCGGCATGGCCATCCCCCCTAGGGGGTGATTTCTCGCTTTCTTTCTCTCTGTCTCTCTCTGTCTTTCTGACGAGCTCACACGCCCTATAGTGAAAAACCTCTACAAAAAAAAAAAAAAGTTATGATAGGGGGACCAGCAGATGGTATGGTGGTTAAGGAACTGGACACTCTCACGTGGGTGACTGCAGTTCGAGTCCTGGACCTGGTGGCTTTCTTTCTCACTTTCCCTCTCTCTCTGTCTGTGTCTCTCTCTGGTCTAATTTTTTAAAAAATTAAATAAATCTTTAAAAATTAATTTTTAAAAAGAATTAATTTTTAAAATTTATTGGTTTTTTTTTTTTTTTTTTTTGATTTGACTAGAGAGAGACAGAGAGAGAGAGGGAGGGAAAGTCAGGAAGTAAGCCACCAGGTTCAGGACTCAAGTCACAGTCGGCAATGTGGGAGTGTCCAGCACGTTAATCAACACTCTACTTGCTGACACCTAAAAGATTATTTGTTAGGGGCAATCAGCAGTTAGCATAATGGCTATGTCGCTGGACTCCCACATAGTCGACCGCGGTTCACGTCCTGGATCCGGTGACTTAAAACTCACACCGGGCGCGTGTGCGTGTGTGCCCAAGATCCCGAGAGGAGAATGGAGGAGAAGGGATTGCGGCGTGACCATCCCCCCTGGGGGGTGATTTCTCGCTTTCTGTCTCTCTGTCTCTCTCTGTCTGTCTGGCGAGCGCACGTGCCCTATAGCAAAAACCTCTCCAAAAAAAAAAAAAAATTATTTGTTAGGGACCAGCAGTTAGCGTAATGGCTATGTCGCTGGACTCCCATGTAGTCGACCGTGGTTTGCTTCCTGGACCTGGTGGCTTAAAACTCACGCTGGACGTGTGTGTGTGCGCGTGCCCAAGATCCCGAGAGGAGAATGGAGGAGAAGGGATTGTGGCATGGTCATCCCCCTAGGGGGTGATTTCTCGCTTTCTGTCTCTCTGTCTCTCTTTATCTGTATGGTGAGTGTACGCACCCTATAACAAAAACCTCTAAAAACCATTATTTGTTGAAAAAAATTTTATAATAATATGGGCCACCAGGACCAGCAGTTGGTGTAATAATGGCTGTCACTAGACTCCACGTAGTTTACTGCAGTTCGAGTCCTGGACCCAGTGGCTTAAACTCATGCTGGACACATGTGCGTGTGTTCCCAAGATCACGGGAGGAGAAGTGATTGTGGTGTAGCCATCCCCCCTGGGGGGTGGTTTCTTGCTTTTTGTCTCTCTGGTGAGCACACCCGCCCTATAGCAAAAACCTCTCCAAAAAAAAAGAAAAAAGAAAATATGGGCCAGCAGATGGCGTAGTGGTTACTTTGCTGGACTCCCACATGGCCGATTGCAACTCAAGTCCCAGACCTGGTGGTTTGATACTCACACCAGGTGCATGTGCGTGTGTGTGTTTCCAAGATCCCAGGAGGAGAATGGAGGAGAAGGGATTGTGGTGTGGCTTTCTCACACTTTCTCACTGTCTCTATCTCTCTCTCTCTCCTCCTCTCTGTCTCCCCTTCCCCCATCCTCCCCCTGTGAGCACATGCACCCTAAGGCCAGAACCTCTCAAGAAAAAAAGAAAGTTAATAATAAATAAAATTAAGTAAATAATTCTTTATTTTTTAAGAATTATTTTTATTTAACTTCATTTATTTGTTCATCCATTTTAATTTGACCAGAGAGGGACAGATTGAGAGAGGGAAAGTGAGAAAACAAGCTGCCAGGTCTGGTTTGGCCATGTGGGAGTCCAGCACCTTTAACCACCATGCCACCTGTTGGCCCCATAAATAATTATTAAAAACAAACAAACAAACAAATAAAACCTTAAACAAACCAAAAAACCAGTACTCTGATGGGGCCAGGCAGTGGTGTGATGCTTCAGATGACTGGATCCCACATGACTGATTATGTGGTTCAAGTCCCAGACATGGAGGCTTGAAAAACTCGGTACATGTGTGTCCAAATCCAGAGAGGAGATTGGATTACAGTGTGACCATCCTCCCTGGGGGGTGATTTCTCACATTCCCTCTTTCTCTCTCTATCTCTCTCCGGCAAAGTGTTGTATTCTATACAAAAAAAAAAAAAAACTAAAAAAAGGAAAAACCACAGATTTATTTATGATAATTATGAAGAATGATCAAAAACATCTTCAATAATGTAGTTTTTGGTTTCCTTTATTTTACATTTCCATGGGACTGAGCTTGAATTCCAATTATGGTTAGCCATGTGGGCATTTGGCACCATAACTATGACACTACCTGCTGCTATGTCTGGGTCTCAAACTGAACACTGACCATATGGGATCTAGCTGCCTTAACCACCATGCCGCTGGCTGGCCCTGTTGAAGTTTATTTCTTCAGTCCCCTGGCCGCTTACCTGAAACACACTGGGAATGTGGATGTGCATGAGTGCCCAAGATTCCCCAGCCTGAAGGACTGGAAGAAGGGGATTACAACATGACCAGACCCTGTGGAGAGTGTCATGTGTGTGTGTCACTCTTCTTCCTCTCTTTACTTACTTGCGTGTGTTTGCATTTGTGTGCGCTCACACGCTCACTCCTACGTGAATAAAGAAAAAATTATTTTAAAAGAATTATTTAATTTTACATATTCTTTTTTACACACCAGAGAGAAACAGAGAGTGTGTGAGGGAAAGTAAGAAAACAAACTGCCAGGCCTGGGACCTGATCCATTGATGGCCACTTGGGAGTCCAGTGCCCCAACCACCATGCTACCTGCTGGTCCTGGAGAACAATTTTTTAAATATTTTTAACTT